CCTTGAAGCTCTCATTAAGATTCTTGAGTAACCTTACTACCATGGTGTTGAACTCTATCCAGTAGTTTGTTTTCTTCCATTTCTAACATGTTTTTTTGTCTCCTCATTTTGGCTGCTTCCCTGTGTTTGTTTCTATGTATTAGGTATAGCAGTTATGTCTCCTGGAATTGGTAGAGTGGCCTTGTATAGTAGGTGTCCTGTCAGGTCCAGTGGCTCAGTCTCCCTAGTCATCTGAGCTGGGCACTCTAGGTGTACCCCTCTGTGAGCTGTATGCAGTCTTGTAGTTGAGCCTTGATTACTGTTGGCATCACTGGGAGGAGTTAACCTCCAGGCCAGTTGGCTGTGAGGACCAGCTGTGACTGTAATGGAAGAGTTGCTGTGCAGGAGATAACCCTGTAGATTAGGACTTCCTTCAGTGGGGCTTCGGTGCTCACTGAGTCTGCCCCTTGAGTGTGTTGCTTGTGGATGTGTAGAGTTGTAATCCTTTATGGTCTGAAGCTGTCCACCATGTGTACTGGCTCTAGGGCCTTCATAGAGATGCAAAGTGTTTTACCTCCTTGGTTAAGTTTATTCTTAAGTATTTTAATTTTTTTTTGTTGCAATGGTAAATGAGATTATTTGTTTAGTTTCTCCTTCTGAGAACTCATTATTGGTGTATAAAAATGCTATCGAATTTTGGGTGTTGATTTTGTGTCCTGCTACATTGCCAAATTCATTTGTTAAACCCAGTAGTTTTTTGGTGCAGTCTTTAGGATTTTCTATATATATAACTAGAGGCCTGGCGCATGAATTCGTGCACAGGTAGGGTCCTATGGGGGGTTGGGAGGGGCGGGATGCGATTTGCCCTCTGGGCGGGCGGTGGTACGCCCTTGCCACCCGGGATCTGGATCTGTCCTGCTGATGTTTGCGCTGGTTGTTTTGAGCAACCTGGCCGCTTTTATATCCTTTCTTCCTTGTGGAGCGTCTAAGGAGGGGAGGCGGCCGCGGTGCCCAGGGCCTTCTTCCAGGAGGCTGGTGGTGCTATTGGGATCATGCTGGTGACGCCGGTCCGGTCCGTCGATTCCTGGCCTGTTCTCCAGAGATTGGACCTGCAGGACTACTGAGGGAGTAAGTGGTTACCGCCAGGCTCTTGGGCTGCTGGCATGGGTTTGTCAGCTGGGCAGTGCTCCCGCTGTGGGAGTGCACTGACCACCAGGGAGCACCTCCCGCGCTGAGCGTCTGTCCCCTGATGGTCAGTGTGTGTCTTAGTGACCGATTGACTGGTCATTTCAGTCATTTGATTGTAATAGTCACTTAGACTTTTTATATATAGAGATACCATGTCTGTGAATAATAAAAGTTTTACTTCCTCCTTTCCAATTTGGATGCCTTTTATTTCATCTTTTTTTTCCCAAATATATTTTTATTGATTTCAGAGAGGAAGGAAGAGGGGGAGAGAAAGAGAGCAATACCAATGATGAGAAAGAATAATTGATCGGCTCCTTCTTGCACGCCCGCTACTGGGGTTTGAGCCTGCAACCCAGACGTGTGCTTTTGACCGGAATCGAACCTGGGACTCTTCAGTCCGCAGACTGACGCTCTGTCCACTGAGCCAAACTGGCTAGGGCTATTTCTTCTTGTCTGATCGCTGTGGCTAGCATTTCCACTACTGTGTTGAGTGAGAGTGGTGAAAGTGGACATCCCTGTTCTTAGGGGATATGGTTTTAGTTTTTGCCTATTGAGTGTGATGTTGGTTGTATGTTTGTCATGTATGGCCTTTATTATGTTGAGATAGGCTCCTTCTATTCCCATTTTGCTGAGAGTTTTTATCAAAACTGAGTGTTGGATTTTGTTGAATGCTTTTTCTGTGTCTATGGATATGATCATGTGATTCTTGTCTTCCTTTGATTGTGTTTATGTGATGTATCACATTTATTGGCTTGAGAATATTGTATCAGTCTTGCATCCCTGGAATGAATCTCACTTGGTCATGGTGTATGATCTTTTATATTACTGGATCCAATTTGCTAATATTTTGGTGAGGATTTTAGCATCTATGTTCATCAGAGATATTGGCCTGTTCTCTTTCTTTGTAGAGTTTCTTTGTATCTGGTTTTGGATAATGCTGGCCTCATAAAAAGAGCATGGGAGTGTTCTTACTCTTGGATTTTTTTGGAATAGTTTGAGGATTATAGGTGTTAATTCTCTGAATGTTTGGTAAAACTCCCCTGTGAAGCCTTCTGGACCTGGGCTTTTGTTTGCTGGGAATTTTTTTTATTCCTGCTTCAATTTCATTAGTTGTTATTGGTCGATTCAGGTTTTCTGATTCTCCTTTATTCAGTTTTGGGAGATTCTGTTTTTCTAGGAATTTGTCCATTTCATCCACGCTGTCCAGCTTGTTGGCATATAGTTGTTCATAGTACAAGGAAGCAAAAAACACCCAATCCGAAAAGCAAAAGGATAAAAGAATCCAAAAATATGAAGATAGAGTAAGGAACCTCTGGGACGACTTTAAACATACCAAAGTTTGCATTATAGGGATGCCAAAGGAGAAGAGAGAGAGCAAGATATTAAAATCCTGTTTGGAGAAATGTGCAGAAATGTACATAGGGGATAGTAGAAGTTCTTTAATTTCCTATTCCCTCTCTTCTGAGGTGTCTTTGTTCAGTAACCATTGTGAAAACGTCTTTAGAATATAAGAACATCCATACATCTTATTTTTTAAGCATGTGTATGTATATGTGTGTGTGTGTGTGTGTGTGTGTGTGTGTGTGTGTGTGTGTGTGTATATGGATTTCAGAGAGGAAGAGTATATATATATATATGGATTTCAGAGAGGAAGAATGAAGGGAGAGAGAAACATCAGTGATGAGAGCAAATCATTGATTGGCTGCCTCCTTCATGCCCCCCACGGGGGATTGAGCCTGCAACTCCCGCATGAGACCTGACCAGGAATGGAACTGTGACTTTTGGTTCATAGATTGATCCTCAACCACTGAACCACACTGGCTGGGCCATACATCATTTTTTAAAATGTATTTTTCATAAATGAGATTGTATATCTCATGTTCTTTACTTTTCCATGTTCATTTTATTGTGGATGAGTTTTGAAGGAAGTTTGTTTTCATTGCGTGGTTTTTGTTGAATAGATAAAAATGTAGAATGTGCGTTGGTTTTAGAGACACCGTAATGGAAAAGATTAGTATTCTTTTAGTATTCATAGTGCACCTGTTTGAACTGGAAATCCAAAGAGTGCTTTATTTATTGCCTTTAATTTTCTTGGCTTTGTTCTCCTGGTCCCTTACACTGTTAGGGATTGTCCTTAGTGAGTTATGATATTGTACAGCAAGTATGCTGCTACTTTATAGGAAAGTAATTGCATATTGGTTTTAAAACCAGAGTAGATTTTTAAAAATTTATTTATTGACTGAAGTTTTACATGTCTCCTTTTTCACTATTTGACGCTCCCAGAGTAGCTTTTAATAGATCTAATTGCATCTTTGATGAAATTGATTCTTGACTGTCTTTCATAATTTTGATTGTAATAAAACTTTATTAATGTTTTGAAAGCATCTGCAAAATTGTGCTATAAAAATTTGTATCATATTATTTGATCCTCACATTAATCTTGGGTAGTAAATAGAAGAGATATTCTTAAAACAAAAATTAGAAAATCATATTTAGCGATGGTTCATGATTAGCCTTTGGTCATATAGCTGGTTTGGTTCTGAAATTCGGTCTCTGGCCACATGTTCGTTCTTGAGCATTTCTTCAGGGAAGCATGATGCTATATTTGCTGAGGAGATAGGAGAAAGAACTTGTTTTTAAGATGGCATAGTCCAGTGGTCGGCAAACTCATTAGTTAACAGAGTGAAATATCAACAGTACAAGGATTGAAATTTCTTTTGAGAGCCAAATTTTTTAAACTTAAACTATATAGGTAGGTACATTGTTATTAACTTAATTAGGGTACTCCTAAGCTGGCCCTTGCTAAAAATGTTCTCAGTCTGATTGAGGTACGTTCACTGAGGGCGACCCCTTCCAACTCTCCCACCCACACTCATCTTGTATACTTGTTTTGTCTATCTCCTTTCCGAAAACCGACTTCTGCGCATGGGCCACGAACTTTCAATCGCACTGTACATGCGCGCCCGCACGTGGTATTTTGTGGAAGAGCCACGCTCCAGGGGCCAAACAGCCGCATGTGGCTCGGGAGCCGCAGTTTGCCAATCACTGGCATAGTCTGATGTGGGTGAAAGGCAAAACTATTAGCAGTTTCTAACTAATTTATAATTAGAAGTGTATCGTAAGAGTACAGAAGAGGTACCGCTATCTCAAAATGAGGTGAGAACCTAGAAATGGCTTCTCGGAAAAGGTGATTCTTTAGGTGAGTCATGAAGAGCAAATTGGTGTTTTCTAGTTGGATATCCCAGGCATCCCAGCTAGAGGATCTGTTTGTATGAAGGTCTGGCAAAACCAAATGCAGTGTGTTTGAGGAGTATTTGAGTATTTATCTAGTAGAATTTCCTGATCTGCTTTGTATAAGATACAATGCTTTTATTTTTTTGCAATCAATAATGCACATGTAAAATTAAGAGTTTTGATTATAGCATTTACTTTCCTTATTGGAAGTTGCATTTTATTCAATAAACATTTTTATTTATTTTAACCTTGTCTTTTAATCTCTGCTGTGGCACTAGATATTAGAAAACTGGCATTAATAGAATTCTTTTTCTCAAAAAACCTATTTAGTGGGAAATTTTTATTTAAAATTCAGTTGAATTATAAATGTATTTTGCAGATGGACTTGTGTCAAACTTAGCTAATTGGAATATAGCCTTTGATCCAGAGAAAAAATGTGAAAAGACCTTTGAAGTCATCCATAGATACCCTAAAAGGCAGTTTATAAAATTAAACAGCATTGTACGATTAAAAATTAAGCAAACTAGTAATTGATAAAAATGTAATTAAAATAGTTCTTTGAAACCGCTAGTAGCCTGGCCAGTGTGGCTCAGTGGTTAAGTGTTGTTCACAGTTTGATTACCAGTCAGGGCACATGCCTGGGTTGCAGGATTGATCCCCAGTAGGGGGTGTGCAGAAGGTAGCCAGTCAGTGATTCTCTCATCATTGATGTTTCTTTCTCTCTCCCTTTTTCTCTGAAATCAATAAGAATGTTTTGTTTTGTTTTTTAAATAAAGGAACCACTAGTAAATGTTGAAATTCTTTTTTAAAAATTACTTCTATTGATTTTAGAGAAAGGGAGGGAGAGAGAGACATTGATTTATTTCACTTTTTTAATGCATTAATTGGTTGTTTCTTGTATGTACCCTGATTGGGGATGAAACCCACAACCTTCGCATATCGAGATCATGTTCTAATCAATTGAGCTACACAGCCAGAGCTAAATGGTGATGTTCTTAAAGTAAAATAGGAAGTCCTGTTATAACTATTATTCAAAACTTCTGGAGGGCCTAGCTGATATAGTAAGTTAATAAACAAGAGTAAGTGCAAATGTTGGAAAGAAAGGTGATTATTTTCAGATGATGTTTAAGAAAAAAATTCCAGCCGTGACCGGTTTGGCTCAGTGGATAGAGCGTCAGCCTGCGGGCTGAAAGGTCCCAGGTTCGATTCCGGTCAAGCGCATGTACCTTGGTTGCGGGCACATTCCCAGTGGGGGGTGTGCAGGAGGCAGCTGATCGATGTTTTTCTCTCATTGATGTTTCTAACTCTATTCCTCTCTCTTCCTCTCTGTAAAAAATCAATAAAATATATTTTAAAAAAGAGAAAGAAAAATTCCAAGGAAATTAACTAAAAAACGATTAGAACCAATAGTTCTAAATGATAGCTTTGCTGGGTAGAGTAATCTTGGTTGTAGGTCCTGGCTGTTCATCACTTTGAGTATGTCTTGCCAATCCCTTCTGGCCTGCAGAGTTCCTGTTGTTTGGTAAGGTGGCTGGATATAGGACTAATAAACCAATTGCAAAATTTCCTTTATATCAACAATGATTAGCTTAAAAATGGAAAAAAGACCTCACATTAGGAATAAAAATTGTAGGAATAAATTATAGGGTACTATTTAATAAGAAATATGCAACATTAAAAAAAATATCCTCACCTGAGGATGTTTTTATTGATTTTTAAAGAGAAAGAAAGAAAGGGAGAGAAGGTGGGAGGGGGGAGGGAGAGAGAAAGAGAGAGATATAGAGAGAAACATTGATGAGTTGCCTCCTGTACATTCTCTGAGAATTGAACCCACAACCTTTTGCTGTGTAGGATGATGCCGCAACCAACTGAGTGACCCAGTCAGGGTGAAACACAAACATTTTTATGAAGAACACTATACAACTTACTTGAAAAAAAATCAGAATTAAACAAGATCTGTATTTCTCAGTTCAAACTATTAATTTGGTGAAGGTGGCAGCTCCTCATTAATATATAGATGGAATGGAATGTCAATCAAAATTCTGCTTACCTCCTCATCCTTTTTTGAGGTAGGAGGAAACTTAACTAATTAAGTAGAAAATATATCTGGAAGGATAATTATATGAGAATAACAAAGTTTAAAAAAAAACTGAAAAGTTGGAGGGATTTGATGTATCAGTTGTTGAGATGTATTGGAAAGCAGCAGTAATTGAAACATGTTGCACTGATATGGGAAGGGAATACAAAGCTGGAACATAGTAGTTCAGAATCAGAACTATGACTAGAATATTTCAAATTGTAAAGGTGTGGAGAAGCAGAGAACGCTAGTGGAAGTATAAAATGCTATAAGTTTTTTGTAGGTAGTACCAAAGCCTTAAATATCTATATGCCTTCTGACTCCATCTAGTTTACTTTTAGCCATTTATTCAGTCTCCGGTATATATACGTTGCAATAGCAAAGAACTGAAACAATGTGAATGTCTAGTTGGAATAAATTGGTTAAACTGTAGTGTTCTACATAATGGAATTTTGTGGAACTTTCAAGAAATGTGGATCTTATGTAGTAATTTTGTGGTTTTTTTCTTCTTTTTAAAAAATTCCCCCTCCACCCAGTTCCTGCCCCAACCCAGGCCTTCACCATCCCATTGTCTGTGTCCATAGGTAATGCATATCTATCTATATATATATATATAAAGCTAATATGCTAGGTGTCCCTCTGACTGTGCAACTGGTCACTATGACATGCACTGACCACCAGGGGGCAGACGCTCAATGCAGGAGATGCGGTGATATGCACTGGCCATTTACAAAGAAACGGCACTGCAGACCTGGCGTTGATAAAGCAACACGGCTTCCCCCAAGTGGGACACAGGTCCCTCCACCACCCCGGAGCCACACCCCACCAAATTGCAGCTGACGCTGCCAAGACCGCATGACGCAAAATGCGGCCCACTGCCCAGCCCAGTCCCGGAAACAGGCGCTGTGGGCGCCGGGTAATGACGTCACATAGCAACGCCCGGCTTCCTCTCCCTAGCGACTAGCCACTTCCTTGGAGTTTCTTCAGCCCAGGAACACGACGTGCTTTATAGCCAGGTGCAAACATTTTACACTGTAACCAAATGTCTGTGAAGCGTTTTCCCATGCCTCATCTCATTTGATCCTCACAGAAGTCCTGGAGGAGGTAGATAGGATACTTGGTGGAATCCTATTTTCATTAGCCAGAAAACGGAGATTTAGAAAGCTTAGAAACTTGACCCAACTTAAAAGAAGTAAGAAATGGTGGGCCTTGAAAATGACTTCAGGTTTTCTCACTGCAC